ACTTTGTTGAAATATACAATTCAAGGAGTCAATATTCAGTTGAGGTTATCTACAACGTTCAATAGTCGTGTTTTACTCAAGAATAAACACTGTAACAGTTTCAATAAATATTTAAGTTTATCCGCTAAACTTTATTAAACCAGCTTCTAGTTGAAGAAGATATTAGGAAAAAACGATGGAAATGGATAGGACATACATTACGCAAATCGTCAAACTACATCATGAGGCAAGCCCTTATTTGGAATCCTGAAGGGAATCGGAAAAGAGGGAGGCCAAACAACATATTACGTCAAGGAATAGAAGCAGATATGAAAGGGATGAATAACAACCGAAAGGAGCTGGAAAGGATTGCCCAGGAAAGGGTTGGATGGAGAACACTGGTGAGCGGCCTATGCTCCTCCACCAGGAGTAACAGGCGTAAGTTAGTAAGATAATTTTATTGCATTTTTGCTTTCTTTTCGGTATGTTGAACAAAACTGCACTGATGTTATTCATTGGAGTTTGTTATGTGTAAATCCGGTCTAATTCTGAGCCAATCATCACCAAGGAAACAACATTTTGATTGTTAATTCAAAAACTAATCTCAACGTTTATTCGTCATATAAAAAAGTTTTTCACAATATACTTCAGTATGAAATTAGGAAGGATTATAAAAGTACATAATTACCATCTGCTTTTATAAATGACGTAATCTAAAAGGCAGGAATGAACTAAAAGTTTACTAATCCTAATACTGTGAATACACAATACGAAAAACCAATCAGCTTAATTCCATATTTCATCAACATAAAGCAAACCTAGAAGTTCGTTGCAATCGATAAAGGATACGGTGCTAACAGCGGCATCTGATAATTTTCAGAAGGTGCCTTCAGGTCATTAAACCTCCAGTATGAAGAACTTTGATTTCAGTTAGAAGTCCTGTGAGTCTGACTGTACACATATTGTATATTTTCAAAGATACCCATGATTCTGCGCTGACTTTTCTCAAGCCGTTTAAACTGGGTAATTTCTACAATCATTCTGACTTCGTAGTCACGTTCTATATACTTGAATAATATCGATCTACCAACGCTACAAGATACCCGTGCATGACAACCACTCTCGGTGAAGACTTCCTAGTTAAAGACATTAAGTGCCATGGTTCTGACTTTTCATATATATGTATACATATATATCGATTGTTAATTTTACACTAGCAACATTTTTCTATTTAGGGACAATATGTGCCATTTGTCAGATTACCGCGTTGTTCTTGTCGAAACAGTGGGATATGAGAAGCAACTGACTAAAGAATCAATTACAGATCATAACAAGTTCACTGAATCGAAAATTGATGCATGGATTACCAAGAAACATTTGAAAGTATTTAAGATATTTTTGTGTGCTGTTATGGTTTAATGTTTAGGGATATAAATGATGAGCGTGGTTTATACGTAGATTTTCATCAGACGCATACATGATCTCCCCGAAAAGCGACCGGCAATTCTAGTGATTTCTTAAATAATCGGCGTATGGTATATTCAGTATGTGGCTAAAAGTGAAATCCCAAGAAGTACATTTCGTCTCATATGATGAGACTTGTCATCTGGACACGCGGTTGACTAAGTATCTAATATAGAATTTTTTAGTTCATATATTTTTGTGCTATGATTATTGATGGAAAAATAACTTTGTCACTGAATTTTGAGGAAAGCTGTTTAATAGTGAGTGGAATATAGTCACAAATGTAGCTTGCATAGTATTCCATAATTTACACAACGAATTGGCGAAGGAAACTGCAGTTGAATGTTCAGGTTACCTGGAAAACATGTAATATTAGTTAAATATATTAAAATAGCACTGTAAACATTTTGATTATGCTTCCCTCAAACATATCAGTACATTTCGTTCATTGGTTAGGTTTGTCGGAGTGCCTGTGTACACAAACTAAAGCAGTTATTGTTCATAGAAGATTATTCCTAAACTCTTCAGCTTGGGGATTTAATGAACAAGGTAGTTTGGTGAGGGTTAGGAGATGCAACCTCATAGTAATTAGTCATCAGAATCAGTTTGTACACAATCCTTTTTCTCATAGTTCTGTAAACCTTGTACTATATTGGTTTAAAACATGATTTTACAGTTTCTTAGGTGAACTTTCAATCTGCTGATTTAAGTGTTTAGTATCTGCTATCGCACTCAGTTTAATTAGAACTCCCTTGTCATACGGAGAGAGTAGGAACGTTTGCTATCTTTCATCACTTGGGAAGCGAAATTTGACACCGATTCGGTGTAAACAATGTAGACGTTCATTTTCACTGGATGGGATTTGTTTAAGTTGGACACTAGACGGAGTTTTCTTCCATCTTGTCCTTAAATATGGATAGGACGAATAAAACTAACAGATATGAATATTACTTTGTATCAGAGTAGATGATTTCCCCCATGTTCATCTGGGAATTCGATCGCATTACATACGGATATCTGGCAGTATTGTGAATGTACTGAAATTGGGAATGTGTTAATAATTGTCTTTCGACTTGGTGGATTGATAGGAACTTGTTTACTACTAAGTTTTATTCTGTCGATATCTATAATGCTCATTACTTAGGAGCCTCTGTTCAGACCGAAACAACTGTTAGGTAGCTCTTCAGTTCTTAATACGTTCACTAGATGGACTCCATACATGACACAAACCTATTGTTGATCTGTTATTATTGCACCAATTTCGAAAAGTAGCTTTATCGAATTCTTTTCTTCGTTTCCTCTACTTTACAGCCTCGTTTTGTGGAAAACAAAGAATTATCTTTAAATTTCTGGTGTTTAAATCCATCTGTAGTGTTTTCACAGTTAGCGTCAATGGCGCATTGTGTAATCCTGATGAGCGGTACTCTATCACCATTGGATTCACTTGAAGCTGAACTAAATGTACAATTCCCATTACGTTTAGAAGCAAATCACGTGATTTCAAATACTCGTCTGTTAGTAACAACATTATCACATGGTCCAAACGGTACACGACTTTGTGCTACATATCAGCACCAGAATACCTATACATTTCAAGATGAGATTGGTTCGGTTGTTATCAACGCGTGTCGTTTAGTACCTGGTGGTGTATTGTGTTTTCTACCATCCTATAGTCTATTGGATAAGCTCATACAAAGATGGGAGGTGAAAAGTTAATGCTTATTGTTTTACTAATTCCCTAATTCTATAGTAGTCATAAATTTGATTCTTGTCTATCCATTCATCATTTTTGCAATGAAATAAACTTATCTCTTACTGATTACACTGCAATCACAATTCCCAATAAATAGTTTTTAGGCTACTCATGTAAGTTAGATCACCAAGCGAATGTCATACCATAATCAGAATTAATATCCCTTGTGTGTACCTCTGTTCGGTTATCATTTTATCCAATGGTTGTCTCCTTGTTGCACTGACTGTCGACTATTCTGAGCTGTACTAGTTCATATAATGAGTAGTACTTCTTGTAGATATATCAGCCTTCCCTAATTTTCATTTCTTGAACTGTATGTCGAAATAAAAATACGAACTGAGAATATGGTTCTAGAAAACGAAGTGAAAATGTGTGTGTGAAGGAACGTTGACATTTAAGATTGAATGGTTCTTTACTTCTATATTGTGAGCACTGAAATTCGAGGTGAGTGGTGGTCAGATATTCATTTGTTGTTCAGGTCAATCTTGTCATTTTAACGTGCAAACTCTTATGACTGCGGAATACTTAGCCGATTTGGTACTGAGATGTTGTTTTATTCATTCATTTAAACACATAAACGCTGGTACAAGGAGGTACGAAATAAATATGCCTTACACTCCATCATTCGGTTTATGTGGGGGCTGAAATACTGATCGGGTGTTAAAATCAAAGCAGACAGTTTTCTTAAGGAGCCACTACACGAGCCTTTTAATAAAGTTCTAATCTACAAGGCAGTGGACCAACGTTAGGAGATGCAGTCCCATGTTGGCTGGTAATCAACAATAGGTTCATACGTCATTTGTTCCCTTAGGATTCTGAAGCTCATGTGCACTATTGGTTTGGAATCAGGGTTTCCCTTCTCCCCTAGGTGGATCTTTTGTACCCACCAACCCAGTTAAAGAGCCTGACATCCGCTTTTCGTCCTCTCAATTTCGTAAACAACACACTCGTCACGAGAAGGCAGTGAGTAGGACTTCCCTGACAGTGGCTGTATACGCCTGGCCATGTGAAATCATTTCGAACGGAAGAGTGGACTCCCCTCAACCACAGTCGTACAATGACATTTGCAAACATTGAGTGGCATGGTTTACAATGTATTGCAGAGGAAATGATGAATTCTGTCTCAGCCTATCATTAGATCATGTGTTCTAAAGTTTCCTGATGCTTTCATTTTACAAATTCATTCTTTCTTCTTGGGTTAAATCTTGCATCGTTTCATAATCACTGATGCGGTTGTTATTACCTCTACTACTCTTACATCTGTCTTGATAACTTCATCGAGCTGTGCTGACATGATATAACAACTTGAAACGATACACGTATCTGTCATGTTTCATGCTGATTATAACTATCTAGTTGATGGATCAGTCATTATCATTGAAACTTCCCAAATCATTTCCGAATCAAGTCCTTTATGACCACTTACGCAGAAAGTTATTAACTTTAGCCAATCAATATGATTTCATAACACATTTGCTTACTTCAACTCAAGGATAAAAGCGAGAAAAAAGAAACAACCGGGACAGTTTTCATTCCACATTCATTAAAATCATTTAATATCTACGAAACTAGTGCGTAAATTATGATAATCCTAATTTATACATACAAAACTTCACTTTTGTAAAACAATAAATATCGGTTTTTCGGTACAATAATCATGAAGATGAATGTTGAAAAGTTTAGCAATACTGAAAATGCATAAATTTAGGTAGAATACAAATAGTTAATTTGTTATAACATCTATGAAAGCGATATATATATATATATATATATATATATATATATATATATATATATGAACTAGTTAAGCGAAAATTTCATCTAGATTTTCCACTTGCTTCTCGACTTTCTCTTCAGTTTCATGTGATTTAACAAATGATTGAAGTTGACATTCTAAACTGTCCCATGAACAATGATGATTGACTCTAAAGTATGAAAGAAAACAAGATGTGATAAAATCCAGAAATTTAAAACCACTACACAATAAATTCATATTAATTAGGAGAATAAACACTGGTAAATTTTTAAAAAAAGTGCTGAGAAATGGGTGTGCAATTGGAAAGAGCTACATGTTAAGATCAAAAGTTTACGGTTTCCTCCTTTTCAGAAAATTCCTTAGCTGAAGCTACGCCATGATGTAAAGTATAAGGCAGTCAATCATTCAGCTACAACGTAGGACCAGGCACATATATGCATCGATCCAACTTCCCATACCTCATTAACACAACAAGATGGACACCGGATTCATAAAAGTAGTTAATTCAGAGGTGGTAATATATAAAAGAAAGATTGCAATAAGGATATAGTGCAGGAAGAAAGAATTAGTATGTAGAAAGAAAGATATGAAGCGATTTTAATCTCATAGTTTAAGAGAAGACAGGGAGTGTATAGACCGACGCCATTGTGATCGATTCTGAGCCATGTCACCAAGAGTCTCCAACCATTGGTTACGAAAGTCACGCGGACCCCAACCAAGTAGTCTGCATCTACCAATATGGCTCAGACTAGAGGTTAGTGACTTCAAGCACTGATACCACGTTTTGGTTTGGCCGCCCTTAACTCTCTTCCAACCATCTCCAACACCGGTTAGCATTGCACGACGTGATAATAGGTGTTCAGGCATACGTAACACGTGGCCCAACCATCTCAGTCGATGAAGATTCACAACCTCATCAACTGATTTACTATCATTACCTAATACCCTGAGTCTAACCTCACTATTACTTACCCGGTGATCCCAACAGACGCCAGCAATATTTCTAAGGCATCTGTGGTCAAATACTAGTAACTTACGAGTGTCTTCTACTCTTAATGTCCATGTTTCACTGCCGTAAAGTAAGACAGAACGGACTGCCGTGCAGTATACTCGTTTTTTATTGATAGACGGATATCTCGCCTTCACCATAGGTGACGTAAGTTGGCAAAAGCCAAACGAGCTTTTCGAATCCGTGCTGAGATTTCGTCAGAGACCAACCCATTGGGGCTGATCAGACTTCCAAGATAAGTGAAGTTGTCAACGCGTTCGACTACTTCACTCTCTATCCTTAGTACAGGTGTTGACGCAGACTAGTCCTGAAGCAACAACTTGCATTTAGAGGGAGAGAAGCTCATTCCAAACATTCTGGTATAGTTGCTTAGTGCCACCAGAAGACTGCATTTTATCAGTGTCTTCACCAAACAGGACTATGTCGTCTGCGTATTCCAAGTCGATAAATGGACCTCCTGGAAGGAGATCAATACCCGAGAATTCAGTCGACGAGAATGTTATTTCCATCAGTAGGTCTATGATTAAGTTAAACAGAAATGGAGAAAGTGGACAGCCTTGACGGACACCACCTGAGGTTGCAAAACTAGATGACAGTTCGCCATAAGCTCTGACTCGACTAGTAGTGTTCGAGTAAAGAGCCTTTACAAGGTTTATGTACTTCTGGGGTACGCCTTTCAATGACAGACACTGCCACAGAATCTCGCGGTCTACCGAGTCAAATGCTGCTTTTAAGTCAAGAAAAACCACCATTGTCGGACGCCGGTAAGTATGCCTGTGTTCTAGAACCTGACGGATGGTGAATATGTGGTCGATGAAGCCACGACCAGATCTGAAGCCAGCTTGGTTTTCTCGTGTTTGCAGTTCACGAGTTTTAGTTAGGCGTCTGATTATTATTGAGGCTAGTATTTTAGATACTATATTAGTTAAACTAATCCCTCTATGGTTGTCACATAATGATTTTAACCCTCTCTTATATATTGGGACGATAAGTGATTGTGACCAGTCAGATGGAATAACGTCTAACTCCCAGATCTTAGGTAAAATATTAGTCAACCTAATCGATAAAATTGGACCACCATCCTTAAAGACCTCTGTAGCCAATCCATCTGGACCAGCTGCCCTTCCTCGTTTCAGATTAACTATAGCCTTTTGAACTTCTGCTAGAGTTGGGGGACCTACTACAATGTTCCATTCACACTGTCTGGGAATGGAGGGTAGTTGTAGAGTAACTGAAGGCCAGCTGGACTGCTCTCTGAAATGTTCCGCCCATCGTTCTAAACGTCTGGACTGAGAGTAGATGAGGGTGTCGTCATTTTCCGAAATAATCTCACTTACACTTGACTTATTAATTCCAGCTTCTTTTATTAGTTTATAAAGCTGTCTTGTGTTCCCCTATAGCTGCCGCCTTTTCCATCTCTTTTGCTTTCGTTGCCCACCACAGCTCACGGTCGTTCCTTAGACTTTTGCTTAACCTAGATCTGATTTGTTGTCGCTCTTCATCGTGTTCAGAGCCTGATGGGATGAGTTTACGAAAATCCATCAGTGTGATAGACCTTGAAGAAATCCACTGGTTCTTTGTAACTCTGTGGCCTAAATCACTAATAGATGTCACTGCTGTTTCCACAGCTGTTTGTATAGCTTTCCAAGCAACATCTGGGTCAACCTCGTTTTCAGAACTACCTAATTGTGACCTCAGTTGTTTCTGGAACCTACTTTTGGTTCTCTCGCTACTCAATTCAGTTCTAATGGGTCTTTTTACTGAGGCTTTTTTGCGTCCAGTGAGGCGCACGCAGATGCGTGCCCGTATTAGGGCATGGTCGGAGTCCAAGCAGGTACTCCAGAATGAGCGACAATCTTCTACCGACCCTCTCCAACGACGACTGATGGCTATATGGTCTATTTGAGTCCATCGTTGGTTTGGTGTAGAGGGTCGCCATGTTAGACGATGTCTCTCCTTATGCTTAAAATTTCTGTTTGCTAAAAATAAACGATTGTCTGAGCATAATTGCAGCAGACGATCATCATTATCTGTTCGCTGTGCCGGAATGCTAAAATATCCACCTAAATGCCTTTCTGTTTGGTTTAAGCTACCTATCTGAGCATTAAAGTCACCCCCGACGAGTACTATGTCTGAGTGTTTAGCTTTCTGAAGAAGTTCAGAGAGCTTTCTGTAAAATTCATCCTTCACTTCATCTGAGCTGCAGTCAGTGGGAGCGTAGGCAGAAACGACAAAAAGGCAACGACGTGTGTCCCTATTCTTCCGAGTTCTTACGGAGCCGTTTAGCCGAACAGCACATAGACGACTGTTAACGGGGATCCACTCTAAAAGTACTTGTTCAGCCCTCATGCTTAGTGCTATCCCTACTCCTGCCAGTCCATGAGAGCTGGCCATTGGGTCACCAGATAAACGGAGGGTGTATCTCGTTGGCTCTCCGTTTTGCCGAGGTGAGGTCAAGTGAATGACCACACCGAAATCCTGTATGCGTGTTTCAGAGACACAGCATACATCAATGGTACGAGATTCTAGGGTTCTAGCCAAGGAAGCCTGTTGACCGATTTGACATAGAGTGCCTAAGTTGAAGGCTCCAATGTGTAGTTTGGAGCGAGGTTTCAGTAGACCTGGGACAGTGTTTTGAGCACTAGAATCGTTGGCTATGGTGACATTTGAGGAGGAAGCCGAAAAAGGAAGTTTAGAGGTGAAAGTCGATGTAGGAGGAATAATAGAAGGTGAAGACAGAGGTTGATTATGAATCCAGTGGTCTTGAGTGCTGTTAGAGGTATGAGGGCGGTTATCACTTCCCGGTTGCCCACACCGTGGAAGGGTTCTTCTGGAGGTACCTGAAAAGGAAATTGGATTACAGGTGGTCTTAGTGACCTGGGAGCGTGACCGCAGTGCCCAAGGGACAACTGCTTGAGGTCGGTCACACACGACCTTTTTATGGGCACTTTTTGTGTTAGCTCCGTACTTGTTGAGACCCTACCGCCGGAGACGGATATCCGTGGGATAAGGTGAGGTGTGCATTTTTAGGGTCGACCTTTTCTAACCCCACCCCTCCTTGTGGGAAGGCAGCATCGCTGTCATGCTGGTTGTCTGAAGAAAACACCTTACTGCTGTCACACCTCCGTACAGTCAGTAGTACGACTTCGCCTTCGGACCTTGGGTTTGTTGCTTTTAATCTTACCGCTCTTCAACCGACCTGTCTGACATGGTAGGACCTTGAGGAACGGTTGTTCCAGCCAGTATAGCTCGGTTGCTTCATCACGATAGGCAAGCCCGACCACCACATCAAGGCAGTAACAACGGTTGGGTGTAAATTATAAACTAGACATTAATATATATAGAAACTGCGGTTAGTATGATTAAATTACATGACGTATATCATTCAAAAAATAGTCTTATTATAAACTGCTATTGTGGCGAGATGTGATAGAGATTTTGAGGTGAATTTCACATTTTTTTCTAATCAAATGTGCTCTACCGTAACTGATTCTGAGCCATGCCATTCCAAAGTTTACAACCACTGGTCACAGTTTTATTGCAAATTCAAGCTGAAAAGTATGCAATGAAACAGCTACGTTCGACAGTTAGTGATTTCGTGAACTAATGCCACGTTTTTTTCGGCCGCTCCTCACCCAACTTGCTCTGCAACTGGTGAATCTCAGCCATATAAATCAAAAGGACAAATGTCGCAGATGTTGTCGCTCTCTGTTGCGAGTTGACCGAAGTAAACATCTTGAACCACTGGATCAACGAGTAGTTGGTTTAAGTCTCCGAGACCTGAAGGTCTCTCGGGTGATTAGCAATGAAATATTTGAAACAACTACACAGTGCTGTATTGTTTTTCAACTGTTTTCAGTTCGCGATTGTAAACGTTCCAATAAAAACTTGTAGCACCTATGTTATTACATGCCTGCGTGATTTATCCCAACTTAAAACAGGTTTTAGCAACTCAGACAGCATATGAGTCACTTTTACCATCCCAATAACTCTATCGACTTTATAGAAAATTGTAACCTTCAACACACGCATCTCATGTTCGTGTCATTGTAATTCTGCACTCATGTATCCCTTGTGTGTACTTCTGTATGGTTATTATTTTATTCAATGGTTGTCTCCTTGTTGCACTGACTGTCATCTATTCTGAGCTACACTAGCTCATATAATGAGTAGTATTTCCAATAGATGCATCTACCTTCCCTAATTCTCATTTCTTCATCCGTGTGTCGAAATGAACATACGTACTGAGAATATGGTTCTAGAAAAGGAAGTGAAAAGATATGTGTGTGAAGGAACGTTGAAATTTAAGATTCAGTGGAAGATAGAGAGTGATTCCACATATGTCGTCATTGTGACTGATTCTGTGTTATGTCAGCCAACATCTCTAAACAATAAGAACAGTTATTGTACAATCCTAAGACTAGGTAGTCCTCAGTCTAAATAAGTCAATGATCAATGGTTTGACCCAATGCTTTTTGATCTCTCCAAGGTTTCTTCCTGCTTACTTCTGCAGCGTGAGCACTGAAAGTCCAGGTGAGTGATGGTCACACATTCATGTATCGTTCAGTTTGTTATCGTCGTCTCTATCAGTAAAGTGACACAAATATAAACAAGAAGAAAATTCAGAATGGAATAATTACCTAGACCGGATCCAACGACTTATACCACACATATAACGAGATGATTGTTCCACAAAACGTGCATCAGCCAATAAAATAGAACCCCAATCATTTGCATGTCGAATACAACGTCCTAATGCTTGATTTAATGCTCTATAGGCTTGAGCATCATACCATTCTGATCCACTGAGTACTTTTCTAGGTCTTGGAGAAGAAACATTAGAGGTGGAAGAAGTTATATCATCATTTGTATCATATTTTTCCACAGATGAATTAACATTTTGTAATGGTGATCGTATATGCTTATCTGTACAGGCCATTTTGGCTGAGGATTTATAAAGTGCATCGTTAAATTCACGTTTTTGTTGGACCTTTATAGAAATTTGTATTTTTTTGAAAGAAAAATAATTTTGAACATGTGAAACAATGAAACAAAAAGTTTGAAGTTTACATTGAAAATTATGTTAGAAATCCATGCAACATGAAGTTTGAATTAGTGGTAAAAATGAATTATTATTTATTATTTAACATTGTAGTATGCTTCACATGTCTATAAATGACATTGTTATGGACTTAGTAATGGCCCCCAAATGCCCTGGTACACACGAGTTCGGAGAGTCAGCTCTCCCTATCTAAATGCTCTTACATGATCACGTGCATACAACCACTGAAGGGAAGTCCTACTCACTTCCTTCTCGCACCACGGGTGTTGTTTACGAAATTGAGAGGACAAAAAGCGAATGTCCGGTGCTTTAACCGGGTTCGTCGACACGGAGAGTTCATCTAGGGGAGTTGAAAAACCCTGATATCAAACCAATGATGTACATTGGCTCCAGTATCCTGAGGGAACAAATGGCGCATGAACCAATCGTTGGTCACCAGCTACCATGGGATTGCATCTCCTCACAATGCTCCACTACTTTGCGGATCAGACCTTAAAGTCAAACGCTCAGGGTGTGGTCCCCTAAGACAACAACCTGCTTCAGTCTGGGCACCCGGGCAGTATCACAGCCCTCACACAAATCAAATGAATTTTGTGTGGCGCATATGTATCTGGTGCCCCCTTGTACTGTGGTGCGTGCTACTCATATTGGCATAAGTAGTATATAATGCGAGTCGGGAATTTAATGTCTGGCAGCAGAAGATTGGGAAGATCAAGAAAAGAAGAACGGGAAGAGAATGCATTTAGTATAGAAGTCCGAGACAATTATTGAACATTTTGCAAATTAGGTAATATAGTATGGTTTTTCTATTTTACCAGGTAACTCTGTAATGTTGTGCTAAATATAATTCGGTTGTCCTCATCTGTGTTTCCCTTCACTACATTACCAATATTTATGTGTTCAAATAAACAAAAAACAATGACTGAGACAATCAAAGTTTGAACTTTACATTACATTATAAAATATGGCTAATATGATTCGATTATATGACGCATATCAGCCAAAAAAATGTCTTAATATAAACTACTATTGTGGTGAGATCAGATAGTGAGAATTTAAATTGACTTTTTTTGAATCACATCTAATGCTTGAAGCCTAGAAATACACTATCTATTAACTGGAATTGATATAGACAGAGTAGAAGAATTAAGTGAAATATTGAAATAATTACATTCTAGTTGTAAGACAAAATAGTTTAATGACAACACAAAAGGGCACTTATGATAAATTAATATCATTTAACCAATTATAACAAATGTGACAGGATTTGCCAATTACTTAAACGTATCATCGAACAACCCAATATCAATTATCTACGTTTCCCATCTTGAGGTCAACATGTAAGTAATTGTACACAAGAAAACAGACAAAATGTTAAAATATCCGATATTTATGAGCCTTAGTTGCACAGGGATCGTTGGTGTGCAATCCGAAAGATGTTCCATAAATGATGAGCTTTAATGGTTGCAGTTTGCTGATTGATGTCAGCTTGGAGTGTAAATCTTCACACTAGAAATTTTTTTAAGCCCATCCATCTTTTATTTTATTTGAACACATGAATATTAGTACAAGACGGCACCAAATACATATGCGCCACACAAAACAATGAGAATTCGAAAAGAAAAAAAGAAGGTAAGGAGTGTGAAAAAACGAACAATAACGAACAGATTAGTGTAAGGTAGTGTAATAGTAACAAAAAATGATAATATTAGTAATAATGGGGGAACGGAAAGGTACATTCAGAAGAAATCTTTCAATTAGGTAAGAAACAATCATTTTTTTATAAAGTGAAAGGTTACAGCAGGATCGCCACTGGCTTCTATTCTGAGCCATATCTGATAACGTCTCTAGCCACCATCTCAAGGACTACAGCCATGGAGTCGTGAAGGACCGACAGAAGCCAGTCCTTTGCAGCTTTCTTTTATACCACGACACCATGTCATGCACTGATCACCTCTCCGCTTTTTCCAACCAGTCCCAGAGTCGGCAAATAATGCACGACGTGGAATTCTCTCGAACGACATCCGTAGAACATGTCCAAGAAACCGAAGTCGGTGTTTCAAGATGGTGACATCGATTGCATTACCATCTCTGTGCCCGAACACACGATGCCAAACCTCTGTATTACTAACATGGTGTTGCCACTGGATGTCAGCAATACTTCGGAGACAACGATGATCGAACACAGAGAGTCGTCTAACGTCCTCAACTCGGAGAGTCCAGGTTTCACAAGCATAGAGCGAAACTGCTCTCACCAACGCGTTGTAAATCCGACCTTTTACAGTCAGACTAACATCACAAAGGCGCCAAAGATGGCCCAGATTGGCATAAGCCGCTCTGGCTTTGACTATACGTGAATTGATCTCATCACCCACACCATCACCAGCACTTATGCAACTACCCAGATACACGAACTTCTCGACTACTTCTATCCAGGGTGAGTACAGGATTAGAATCCTGCCAGCCTTGTAGAAGTACTTTGAATTTCGAAGATGCGAATCACATACCATAAATACGGACACTGATTGCCAAATGATTAAGTGCGGATTGCATGGCTTGAGCATTATCGCACAGTAAGACAATATCGTCCGCATACTCAAGGTCGAGAGGTCTTTCTCCAGGCAACAGATCCACACCACCATTACTTACATTCATCAGAGCTGTTTCCAGAATGTCATCGATGGCAAAGTTGAGGAGGAATGGTGAGATTGGGCAACCCTACCTAACCCAACTGCTCGAATAGAACAATGGAGAGAGGTGGTTGTATGCCCTCACTCTGCCTGAGGTGTTTGTATATAGGGCTTTTAAGATGTTAATAAACTTCTCAGGCACACCCTTCTTCAATAGACAATCCCAGAGAACAGTCCTGTCCAACGAATCGAAGGCAGCCCTGATGTCAAGAAACACTACGATTGTTGGCCTTTGATAAGTATGGCGGTGTTCTAACATTTGGCGGAGGGTGAAGATATGATCAATACATCCTCGACCAGAACGAAACCCAGCCTGCTCCTCGCGAGTCAATCTTTCTCGGGTTTTGAACAACCTACGAAGTATGACGGAATCCAACAGCTTGGACGCAATCGGAAGTAGACTTATCCCCCGATATAAGTAAATAGTATATTTGTAATATAACCAAATTAAAATTAATCCAAGTTCAAATAGTACTATTTAAACTTGGATTGATTTTAATTTGGTTATTTATTCTCTGAAGAAGTGACTTACACTAAGCCACGAAACGTCAGAAAATCTTATTTTTCTACTCAATGGGATATTACAAATATACTATTTATTTAAAACAATCTACCCAATGCTCAATTTATTCGAAATTATCAAACCAAACCTTGGTAATGATACCTATTATCCCCCGATAGTTGTTACAGGAACGACGTGAACCCTTTTTAAAGATAGGGACAACTATCGACTCACTCCATAACGTTGGTACACTCTCTAGCTCCCAGACCTTTGTAAACAACGTCGTCAATTCCTTAGTCAGAAAGTCACCACCATCTATAAAAGAGCCGGACGTAACACATCTGTGCGAGGTGATTTGTAGCGCTTCAAGGGTTGGAGTTCCTTGTGGACTTCTGCCTCATTTGGTGGATCAGTCATCACCGGCCATGGAGGGCAGGACAGTCTGACCGATGTTGCCGGAGCAGCAGACCAGTTGAACTGCCCTTCGAAGAATTCTGCACATCGTCCAAGACGTCGATGGATGTTAGTGATTGGCATCCCATCATCCTCGCAGATTGTTTCGCTCACACCAGGCTTCTCGCTGCCAGTGGCTCGGATGAGTTGGAGGAGCTTCTGGTAGTTACCAGATGCAGCTGCTGCTTCCGCCTCATTAGCACGCTCCGACCTCCAGGTTTCTCGGTCCTTACGCAAGCTTTGCCCGATTTCATTACGTAACATCCTTCGTTTGTGGTCAAACTCACGGTCACCCGGAGTAGACCGACGGGCTTCAATGAATTGTGAGGAACCAGAAGAAACCCAGTGCTTATAAGCGGCACGTTTCGCGAACCCACAACTGACTGTACCCGCTATTTTCATGGCGTCATGCAATTGCAACCAATGCTCATCTATACTTTTCGGTGGAATGGTAGCTAGCCTAGAGGCTAGCTCGGTTCGATACTTACTAGCAACAGAAGTTGCAACCAGCTTGCTAACATCAATCCGTTGGTGGCGGTCACTTCTTTGGCCACTGAACAGTAAGGTAAGATTGGCGCAGACCAAGGCATGGTCAGAGTCCAGATAGGTACTCCGAAAGGAGCGGCAGTCTTGTGCACAACCACGCCAGCGGTAGTTGATCGCGATGTGATCAATTTGAATCCAGGCTTGGGATGCAGAGGGAGGACGCCAGGTGGCACATCGGCGATGACTGTGCCGGAAGTTAGTGCTAGTCAGAAACAGGTTGTGGTCTGTGCACAGTTGCAGTAGACGGTCCCCATTATCCGACCTACAACCAACGAGTCCCCATCGGCCACCTAAACGACTCTTTTCTGTGCCTAGACGCCCAACCTGAGCATTCAAGTCTCCGGCTAGTACTACAATATCTGTCGAACGCACTTTCTGGAGAAGAACAGATAACTAGTGGTAGAACTCATCCTTGATGGCATCCAGGCTGCAATCCGTCGGGGCATAGGCGGAGATGACGAAAAGACATCGTTTCTCAAGCCGATTTCTTCTCACTTTGATGGAACTTTCTAACCTAACAGCACATAACCGACTGTTAGTGGGGATCCAATCGATTAGTGCTGCCTCAGCTCTAGCGCTTAGTGGGACACCAACGCCAGCAAGACCAGACGAAGATGCCATGTACATTTCGACATTATTCAGACTACGACAGTTAATAACTTCATGGATTGACACCATGTTTTGACCTGGCTTAGAATTTATCCCCAACTTAATCGCATGTCAGGCAGTACCGCGCGTAAGAGAAGGGGCTGAATATACATGCATAATGTAAATCCGTGTCGTTTCAGCCAATAGAGGTTTGCAGTCACTAAGACCTAAAACATAACCCTAAAATTATCAGTTCTATGGTGCTAACAAATACTATGAAAGCATCAAAGACACTGATGAGTAATTCATTCCAACTTTAATACATATTTTACGTTCACAGCGTCTTAAAATTAAGCTGATCAACAATACAGTCATTCTTTGGACGACAGACAAGCATATCACAGATGGCTCAAACTGGTAAATCTATTCATCTCTTTATACCTCTTACAAAATTTTTACTGGTTTTGGTCTATCTTTGATAGATGACATGGTTAAAAAGTGATCATATTGGCACAGATGATAATTAAACATAAAACATGCTATTTGTAAAAAGCTTATAATACAATCTTCAAATAACTGTTTGCAACTACTTAAGAAATACTGAAAAGATACCACATCAAATATGTACTTCAAAATGACTGGAGAACACGTGAATGTAGTGTTAAAAAGAAGGGAAGTGTGGACGAACCTGAGGATTTGTGAATGCTGGATAAGGAATTCCAATGGCAATTACTAAACGTGCATAAGAATCAGCAAAATCCAAGCCTTCACTAACTTTACCACGACAAACTGCAAATATAATTGATCCTGATTTATTTAACATAAGAGATTTTCCATTCAGTGATGGCGATTCATTATTATTAGCCTGATCAATTGATTTTCGTCTTGACTTCAATTTGGCATTTGGAACATTTTGATTTACTGAAGTATAAAACTCTTCAAGCCAATCATCTAAACCAACAGATGATCTCGGTTCAATCATAACATGTTTTATCATATTCAAATTATTCAGTAATCCAGTTAACTAATGTATAAATAAGAAAATAAAGTTAAATATGCATTGAAAATTTTCTTATCGCAGAACAAAAGCTTTTCGGCATTTATTTCCTATACGCACTGCACTACTTATAAGTAGTTGGAGATAACTGCCAACTAATACGAGGCAGCTCCTACCTTACAGCTTGGTTGAGTGGGTTTTGTGAAGATTGGTTTGTTCATAGATAATATTCGTCACGGATTGATATCATTTGAGATATAACTGAAAACCAGCGGAGACTGGACATATTTTTCGTCCTAGAATAGAACTCCTCAGCACTACGCACACAACCCTACCCAGGAACCTTCAGGCCTTGAAGAGAACGCCTAACCATTAGAACCAGAGTCGGCGTCCGGTGGTACAATTTCAACCGATCTGCAATACAGCGCGTGACAGTTGTTTTAGTCCCGACATTTTTGAACTCAGAAGTTTACAAGATACCTTTGGGTTCAACTCTTGAAGGAGTATAGACTGTTAAACAAGGTCCCTGTTTTTCAATGATTGTCTAAGAAGTTAGCGCATGATGGAAAAAGGTCCGAACTAGTAACTAGTTTGACCATTTTAAATAGACCGCACTTGGAATATCGTATGGAAAACAAACGATTTTTATATATGATTATTAATATGAGAAATTCTCATTCCTTCCTGATAAAAAGTTGCTGAATTAGAAATCAGCATTTTACGTAAAAATGTTCTTAATTTATGCTGCTACATGATCGAAGCGACCTTATTAGACAATCTACTTTGTTGTTCAGTCAATCAACACAAAATATTTAAATGTATTTTCACTGTAAACAAAGAGTAGTATCTTCACTAAATATTAATTGAGTGAGATGTAAATTGTTAAGATATAAAACATAGTTGTTCTTCATTATCAATGCAAATTAATTCTGATTATGGTATGACATTCGCTTGGTGATCTAACTTACATGAATAGCCTAAAAACTATTTATTGGGAATTGTGATTGCAGTGTAATCAGTAAGAGATAAGTTTATTTCATTGCAAAAATGATGAATGGATAGACAAGAATCAAATTTATGACTACTATAGAATTAGGGAATTAGTAAAACAATAAGCATTAACTTTTCACCTCCCATCTTTGTATGAGCTTATCCAATAGACTATAGGATGGTAGAAAACACAATACACCACCAGGTACTAAACGACACGCGTTGATAACAACCGAACCAATCTCATCTTGAAATGTATAGGTATTCTGGTGCTGATATGTAGCACAAAGTCGTGTACCGTTTGGACCATGTGATAATGTTGTTACTAACAGACGAGTATTTGAAATCACGTGATTTGCTTCTAAACGTAATGGGAATTGTACATTTAGTTCAGCTTCAAGTGAATCCAATGGTGATAGAGTACCGCTCATCAGGATTACACAATGCGCCATTGACGCTAACTGTGAAAACACTACAGATGGATTTAAACACCAGAAATTTAAAGATAATTCTTTGTTTTCCACAAAACGAGGCTGTAAAGTAGAGGAAACGAAGAAAAGAATTCGATAAAGCTACTTTTCGAAATTGGTGCAATAATAACAGATCAACAATAGGTTTGTGTCATGTATGGAGTCCATCTAGTGAACGTATTAAGAACTGAAGAGCTACCTAACAGTTGTTTCGGTCTGAACAGAGGCTCCTAAGTAATGAGCATTATAGATATCGACAGAATAAAACTTAGTAGTAAACAAGTTCCTATCAATCCACCAAGTCGAAAGACAATTATTAACACATTCCCAATTTCAGTACATTCACAATACTGCCAGATATCCGTATGTAATGCGATCGAATTCCCAGATGAACATGGGGGAAATCATCTACTCTGATACAAAGTAATATTCATATCTGTTAGTTTTATTCGTCCTATCCATATTTAAGGACAAGATGGAAGAAAACTCCGTCTAGTGTCCAACTTAAACAAATCCCATCCAGTGAAAATGAACGTCTACATTGTTTACACCGAATCGGTGTCAAATTTCGCTTCCCAAGTGATGAAAGATAGCAAACGTTCCTACTCTCTCCGTATGACAAGGGAGTTCTAATTAAACTGAGTGCGATAGCAGATACTAAACACTTAAATCAGCAGATTGAAAGTTCACCTAAGAAACTGTAAAATCATGTTTTAAACCAATATAGTACAAGGTTTACAGAACTATGAGAAAAAGGATTGTGTACAAACTGATTCTGATGACTAATTACTATGAGGTTGCATCTCCTAACCCTCACCAAACTACCTTGTTCATTAAATCCCCAAGCTGAAGAGTTTAGGAATAATCTTCTATGAACAATAACTGCTTTAGTTTGTGTACACAGGCACTCCGACAAACCTAACCAATGAACGAAATGTACTGATATGTTTGAGGGAAGCATAATCAAAATGTTTACAGTGCTATTTTAATATATTTAACTAATATTACATGTTTTCCAGGTAACCTGAACATTCAACTGCAGTTTCCTTCGCCAATTCGTTGTGTAAATTATGGAATACTATGCAAGCTACATTTGTGACTATATTCCACTCACTATTAAACAGCTTTCCTCAAAATTCAGTGACAAAGTTATTTTTCCATCAATAATCATAGCACAAAAATATATGAACTAAAAAATTCTATATTAGATACTTAGTCAACCGCGTGTCCAGATGACAAGTCTCATCATATGAGACGAAATGTACTTCTTGGGATTTCACTTTTAGCCACATACTGAATATACCATACGCCGATTATTTAAGAAATCACTAGAATTGCCGGTCGCTTTTCGGGGAGATCATGTATGCGTCTGATGAAAATCTACGTATAAACCACGCTCATCATTTATATCCCTAAACATTAAACCATAACAGCACACAAAAATATCTTAAATACTTTCAAATGTTTCTTGGTAATCCATGCATCAATTTTCGATTCAGTGAACTTGTTATGATCTGTAATTGATTCTTTAGTCAGTTGCTTCTCATACCCACTGTTTCGACAAGAACAACGCGGTAATCTGACAAATGGCACATATTGTCCCTAAATAGAAAAATGTTGCTAGTGTAAAATTAACAATCGATATATATGTATACATATATATGAAAAGTCAGAACCATGGCACTTAATGTCTTTAACTAGGAAGTCTTCACCGAGAGTGGTTGTCATGCACGGGTATCTTGTAGCGTTGGTAGATCGATATTATTCAAGTATATAGAACGTGAACTCCGCCTGTAGCTCTTCCACAGTTACTGCCGGTGTCAAGCTCGGGTAAAGGAGGAGGGTTGGACATGGGGCTAGCATCCCCATCCCGTAGAAAACTAACTCGCTTGAAAAAAAGGTTACCAGAAAAAACCATTCAAACCATTTAAACTCTGTCCTGAGAACTAGAAGGTCTTCATTTAGAAGAATCATGACGCTTCATGGTGAAAGCCGAGTTCCTTCGGAAGCCACGAGGCCGATGCCCGTTCTAACAACCAGAGCAAAACATTTTATAGGTACATGGAACGTCCAAACAATGTGGGAGACCTGGAAGACCAGTCAAATAGCAACGGAAATGAGGAGATAGAACTTGGCAGTACTGGGAATCAGCGAAGCCCTAACTTGGAATCCTGAAGGAAGGCGGAAAAGAGGAAGGCCAAAGAACACATTACGTCGGGAAATAAAAGCAGATATGGAGAGGATGAATAACAACTGGAAGGAGCTCGAAAGGATTGCCCAGGACAGGGTTGGATGGCGAATGCTGGTGAACGGCCTATGTTCCTTCACGGGGAGTAACAGGCGTAAGTAAGTAAGTAATATAGAACGTGACTATTATATTAGAATGGTTGGAGAATTTCCCCAGTTGAAACGGCTTGGAAAAAGTCAGCGCAGTATCATGGGGATCTTTGAAAATATACAATATGTGTACAATCAGGCGCACAGGACTTCTAACTGAAATCAAAGTTCTTCATGCGGGAAATTTAATGACCTGAAGGTACCTTCTGAAAATTATCAGATGCCGCTGTTAACTCCTTCTTCGTTATCGCCTTCAATTACTACACATTACGGCACATACATAAACTTCGTGATAATTTTCGCATAAAGGACCTACAGATACAACATTACTTATAACACATTGCAATAAGCACATAGGCATCTAGAAGTTGTAAAGTTTTACCATCCCATAAAGAGAATATTGACGAGGTTTACAAAATACGAGAAACGGTTTTTGAATTTTTCTTGAAAAAACTAAATAAATTTATACATAACTTCTGAAGGAAAGAAAGTCAATGTATTGTGCTTCCCTCAAGATTTGAAGGTCATGTGTTACATTCTTTGTAAGGTCGTGAATGTAAACTACTGGTAAAGCTACAAACTACAAAGTAACAGCTTTCTTATGGAGTTCCCTGGACTACCAACACTCTAATTGATACAAGACTCAAAGGCCCCGAGTTCAGTTTCTGTGTCTTTATGTTTGCACTAATGAAGAGTCGCAAACTTAGGCAAATCCGTACAGTGTTTTTAATGGTCTTTCGCAGTTAATGTCATTTGGTCAATCACTGAAGTAATTCCTGGTAACAAATGCTCACCAGTCCGCGTTACCACACCTCAATTTAGCACATAGAGGAACTAACAAGATGGAGAATATTACGTGAGAAACATAATATCGAGAACAATCGGAACCACGACCTGAGAAACACATTTGAAATTGAGAAAAACAAGAGAGAGAAACAAACAGGTAAGAATGACACTTTTATTTTCTTCATTTGAACTCATAAATATTGGTACAAGCCCCCAAATGCCCTGGTATGGCCGAGGGTAGGGTGGGGCCCCTGTCCCTCTCGAAATGCTCTCACACGGCCACGCGTATACAGCCTCTGCCAGGGAAGTCCTACTCACTGCCTTCTCGTAGCGGGGGTGTTGTTTACGAAAATGAGAGGACGAAAAGCGAATGTCCGGCGCTTTAACCGGATTCCAAACCAATGGTGCACATGGGCTCCAGTATCCTGAGGGAACAAATGGCGTATGAACCAATCGTTGGTCACCGGCTTCCATGGGACTGCATCTCCTTACGATGCTCCACTGCCTTGTGGATCAGACCTTCGGGTCGAAGGCTCGAGGAGTGGCCCCCTAAGAAAAGTACCTGCTTCGGATTGGGCACCCGGGCAGTAGTATCACAGCCGACACACAAATGTAATGATAATGAAAAAAATGACACTTGACTAAAGATTTAAAAGGAGACCAGGAAAACACTACTGAGCCATTGCAGCTGATCTTACACTGTCATCAATATCTTCAACCACGGATTAAAAAATCATAATGGACTTCAACGACAAGACCTAAACCCACTGATGTGGCTTAAAATGACAGTCAATCAGTTCATTTGCCTATATATAGCTTTCTAATAGCATATTTCTACGTCGGTCAACATTGTATATAAGGGAAGAAGATGATGAGTCATACGTAACACATGTTTGACTACTTCTGTTGGTGAAGGTTTATACCTCCACCAACGGACTCTTCATTTTTGCCTACTACTCCACGCCTGGGTTCCTCTCTCAGTAATCCTACCACAAATAAGCAATGCTCCGAAGACACCTATGAGCAAATGCTAGTAAACTGAAAATACCCACTACTTATAAAGACCACGTTTCACAGCTGTACAGCACACTTGCCACTTGGTTGGCAAAACGAACATATTCCTGAAGCTAGGCCAGCTTTCCGAATACAGTCGCCAAACCACTATAATTGATGAAAATTCTAACATCGATTGAAGACCTCAACGCACTCGATTACTCCTATTTCCCTTCAAAGCTGATAATAATACATGATAAAATCTAATCTTTAATAAGAACTCGGTGGAGTAAATAAGCGAATATATATAGTAGGATTTTAATCCGATTTCCCAAGGTTTTCTTCCGCAGGTGAAATAAACTAATGGATTTCTTATTAGAAGAAACCTACCCACCTGAACATATTATTTAACACAGTGAACAAAGCATTGAAAAAATGTAACGTCCGATGAGTTGGTTTATGTTGAAATTGATTATTACTGAGATTATCACGATTTCTATTTCGATACCAATCTTCATAATTCTCATTATCCATAATAGATGCAGATAACTTTTGATAAGCACTCTAAAATTGACAAAAAATTCAAACAATGATAAGGGATTGTATAATGGGTTTCTATATTATAGAAGGATACTTCTTATGGTGGCTAAAAAACCAATTAGCAAAATAGTTGCCCTAGCAATCTAGGATGGTGACTACAAAGTCAAAACAAAAACTACTTAAAACCGGTCAAACGGCCTTCTTGTTAGCAGTCTGAGAAGGGTTAGCTCAGTACTCTAAAGGATCTACCGACGGCGACGTAAACCTGTAGGGCAACAAGATGTCCTGTTTTTAGAGTCGATCCCTTCTAATCCTTTCCTTCAGTTGGGGAAAGACAGTATCGTTATACATGCTGGTTGTCAGAGAAAAACGTCTTCATACCGTCACACTCCAACACAATCAGTAGTACGATATCGCTCTCGAAACTTAGTTTACAGCTTTTAGTCTTACCATTGTTATTCAACTGAGTTGCTTAGAATATGCAGAACCTGAAGGGAAAGGCGTTCCAACCAACGTAGATTGATTGGGTCATCAAAATAGGTAAGTTCTGAGACTACGTCAGCGTAGCAGCTGCAGTTGATAGAACACTGATTATGTCAAAATAGATCAAATAAAAATGACCGAAAATATATATTCTGAAAACAAAATGAACTAACACTTTGCTCGATAATTTGTTCTGGTCCAAGACCTACAGTTGACATTAGTCCACAAATTTCTCGCCCAGTCCATACTTGTGTTGGTTGTGTTGTTTCACCGGCTCGAACAAGGCGTGATAATGTTAACTGCATAACACGTAATATTCCATCAACCTATATGTGTTAAAACGAAAATAGTTTTGATACTAAGCAAAAAGGAATACATTCGACGGTTTACTATATTTGCCATGATCATTCTTTCAATCTGATTATTAATTTAAACATGTATTCATACTAATATGAAAACTAGGAAGATCGTTAATATAACATTTAAGTTCATATGTAATAAATACTCATAAACCGTTATACTATTGTTTGAGATAAACGCAATTTTTTTTTATTTTGTGCTAAATCATATGGTGAGAACTAAAAAATGAAATTGATACGTATCCATGGTTTTGTTAATCAATGAGGGTAACCTTAGAACCCGAAGGATAGTTGCACACAAAATAATCTTTTGTAGCGTCTGCTGTGCTAGCTTAATACCTTTTAAACTGAAACTGGGAATCTGTGGGTAACGAGAGACTATATTATTGCAAGATTGATTTTCTTAACCCTTTCATCTGTCGGATAGTAGCGGTGCTAGAAATCATGGTTATCGGTGAAGACATGGAAGTACAACTGCATTCAACTTGTCAACAATACAGCCTCACATTCCTGTATTAAATTTGATGTTTTTGGTTACACTGTAGTAAACGAGAACACTAGGGGGGACAATCGAATGTATTTAAACACAAAATTACAGAACACCTTAGTAAAATCTGAGAACCATACAGTTAATACTTCGTTTGCAAAATGTCAATTAATTGCCTTAAACTTGAATGTTCCTTTATTTTCATACCAATCATTCTCTGTTCTTGTTCTCTTCTCTTCGATCTTCTTAACCTTCTGCTGCCAAGTATTCCACTTATCGATTGATGATACATACTACTTATATCTACCAACATCAGTAGCACACACCACAACATAGCCCCTTAACTGACCTGCCTAGTAGAGTGAGAGGTCACAAAGCACGTGTACCAGTCAGTATAGCTTGACTTGATTGTTATTACAAGGCAAAATCGACTGCCGAGTTAAGATAACAGCTCCGAATATGTTAATTTATATTCGGATATTTCACGATCCAAACAAGCTGCATCTTTTGTACTTACGTAGCATAAACTGCTTCAGTTTTCCCTTGAAACAAAAAACATCAAGTTGGTCTTTTAATACCTCTATCAGCTAACCGAGAGAAACGTGGGACCCCGTGCAAATGTGTGTCGACACAAGTTACCGTACGACATCAGCGCAAAAAATCGATTGAATCCATAGCAAAAGGATCGAAATTATAGTAGTATAAATGATTGTGAAGAGAACGAAACATAGAGAATATACGTAAGAAATAAGAAGAGAATTTCAATTGATTTTGAGCTGTCATTTACCGTCTCATAACACTGACCACGATTATCACCGAAACCCCAATCAGAGTATTCGCACTTCCAAACACACGACTTAGTTCAAAAGTCAATAACTTCATGGAATAGTGTAAAATCCTGGTTCAGTAATCCCCAGGTTTATTCCAATCCACTTAGATACGAGTCAACGGTGAGTGTTGAAGTAGACAGTGGTTCTCCGTGTCCCACTCTTATCGGCTGATGTCCGTGAACAACCTTATAACTACCGGCTAAGAAAATTCCTTGTGAAACTTACCATAGCAATTAACGTTGAACAAGCCTCTGCTTCAAATCCAACTATTCCTTAACAATGAAAAATAAAGACGAATAGATTAATTTTAATGAGAATGACAAACAATCAAATTGATTCCTACAAAAAGAAACTACGTAATACAACAGTTTTTACTATTTGTTTCTAGAGGAATATATATCAACATGTTAACATGGTATCAAGGCACACAAAAATGATAAATGATTCTAACTGTTAAGCAGAGAGTAACACAGAGATTACTATAACCATACAACCTGGTAGCGACTGTAAACTTTCCAATTCAGTAATTTAATAAAATAACAACAACCAACTCGTGACAAGCTGATGTTAGATGTTTATACTTACTGTACAAACAGCAATAAACATTAAGTTCGTAGTTATGAATAATGAATGATATAACATGATTCTAACCGTTCAAAATACAGCTCATTAGTTAGAGTTATCATCCAGATTAGTCTTTTATGGTATGTCTAGTGAATGAAACTTCAAATATCTGGAGGTTTGTGATTTAGAAAGATTGTGAAGGAACGCTGTTCAGAGGTACATATGATTGCAAAAGATATACAAGAAACTTTTATGAATCAGCCCAGGACACATTACATCAAGATTTTATAGTAATTGACCTGATGGGATGACTACACTTCTTGACTGATAAAATTTCAAGTAAGGTAGAAACCAGTATATATGTCCACCTCTTCGAGTTAGCAAGTTCAGAAAGTAAAATGAATAGCCTTTTCCTGACGATGAAATTCTTTCAAACAGTCGAGTGAAACGAATTTACTTTTCATCTTGAAATGATTTTATGGAGCTAAATGTTCACGATCATTGCTGAGAAAATCATACTGTGCTCATACAGAAGGGGTATTTCCGTAAAAAAAATTAGATGAATAAAGTGAGTACTTAGTCAAGAGTTCAACCTTGAGGAGTTGGAAAATCTTAGTTCCTGCTTAGTGGTTTACATGGGGCTCCAGAACCATAAAGAAACGGATGGAATACAAGCCTATTTTGGTCACCGATTACCGTGGGACTCGAATCCTAAAGTTGCCTTGTAGTTAGACTGTTAAGTTGAAGGTCCAGAAAGTGATCTCCTGAGAAGACCACCTGTTTCAGTTTGGACGGTCAGTAAGTAACCCAGTCCACATATATATGAAAATGAGTACTAATGTGGAAAGAGATTATAGATCATAGAAGTTACACGCGAATGTGCAAAAGTCATGAAAACCATAACTTTTTATCATGATAAGAATTATTTCATTTCAATTTAACGTTCTATTTTATTTTGTCTAAATGATGATAATGTTTCTTTACACTAATATTTCAACTCGTGCGACTTGAAAGTTCTGTTCGTTCTAAACGGCCTCAATTTACAGAATGATCAGCTTTCTGAATTTCATCACTGAGTACAAAACCTGATAGAACTTTTCCAAACTTATGTGTCGTTCAGACTTTCCGATCCCAAGATTTGGACTTTGATACAAATCTGATCACAAACAAGTTTAGCTACGTTTTTGAAAAATCCCAACACAGACTTGGGCTATATATCTGACACCAGTATTCAACGTTCCAGTGGGATGCTACAAGCTCGATTATGTTCATCTATTTGGAAGTTTCTTTCAAAATGGTTTTATCCAAAGAATCAGTAACGTCAATGTCTGTTTGAATGAAAAGTGGCCTGATATTAGAAAACTAGCCCTTTATGAATTTTGTACAATTTGAAATCTATTACAAAAGTTAGTAGTTTCGAAGTGATAGGGAGGAAAATTATACTTGGTTAAATGTTGTATAACCTACGTAGTCAGTCAGCTACAATGAAAAACCTGGTACGTGGGCCGCACATAGATGTCACGGGGTCAGCGGCAAACCAGTTTGCCTTGTAAAACGTTTTTAAGCGGAGCACTTTATGATAATAGCTTCAAAAAATGTAACACTAAAACTACAATGTGTTATGATGTTCGGTCGTTTAGATTAGTGATAATACAGACATTTTTATCCATATAATCCAAGAGATATGAGACACTAAACCGTGTAACAAGTTTCACTTCTCATTGACAAAGTATTATACGGATTCTTCGGTAACCATTCTTTTATAGTACTCACTAGTTAGACGAAGAAACAGTTTTAACAATCTTTCTGAAAATCCTTCTTATTTGAAACCATTCCCATTGACAAGCAAAACTTACTTAATCCTTCCAAGTCGTCTCTGGCACTTTTTAACTGATGCTCAGTAATTGTAAATGAAGCAGCTTCACGTGAGGCATCCTCTATATTATGTGCTTCATCCAAGATAATAACATGGTTGGTAACTTCAAGAAAAGTCTTCAGAAAACACAATAAACATATAGTCAAATGACAACATACAGCAGAGCGATTTAGAGGATCCAGAAGATAATCATATGGACAGAAAATGATATCTGCAGATCTAGCTAATGAACGTGAACAAAAATATGGACAACTAGGAATCTAGGATAAAACAGATTAGTGTGTAAAACACAGAAAACCTTACTGGAATAAGAGCTTGTACTAAATCTTCTATATCCCATGGTCCTGAACGGTCTAATTTGTCAACAGCACGTGATAGGTCAGACTTTTTCCGTGGTAAATCATAAGCACACACACCAGACTATTTGGAATCGTATTAAAACATTAAATAAAAGAAACCACCAACCAAAAGTAAATTATGACATGAATCCGTAACGTTTGGAGTTGATGAAATTTCAGGATTAATGCATGTATGCTTACGACTACTCAAAATAGACATTCTACACGGAAAATTAGGAATATTGATGTGAAAGGTTTACATCTAATACAATTTACTTTGCATTTTTATATTTTGTTTTTCTTAATTCTCTAACGACTTGTGATATTTGTTTATGCGTTCTCGTACAATAATAAATTTTCGGGCTAAATATATGAAAAATTGAAATTGAATTCGAACTGTATTAGTTACTTTCCAGGTGTAGATTTTTTGTCTTCTGACGATATCATATCTGTAATGTCATCTAAAATTATAAAAAAAAAGTAAGATGGTACTATCAAGATACTTAAATAATAAAAACTGTCAATGAACACCTAGACAGGTTACTTAAAGTATTAATAAGAAATCCCCTCCAACATTTAACACTGATGTGATGTTTCGGTATCGCTTGTTCTGCTTAACATTTAAAATCCACTGCTTGTTCGAGTTATATCATGAAGGACATATTCTGTTTGGGGATTGCGTAAAAGTCGTAGTCTGTGGTTGAAGTCGGAAAAAATAGTAGTTGCATTTATTCTCAATCTATATTTAAAATCTTGAGTTGAGTGTCATTCCCAACTTTTTTTACTTCAGTCAGTCACAACGTAAAACCTGTATGTATATACATTGGTTCAATTTTTCACTTCCCATTAGCACATCGAGATCAAATTGTTAGGCCAAATCCCAGAATACTAGATGTAGTAAGAGTATCAGTGTTAATAAAAAAGTTCATGCATAGAAGATACGACTCAACAAGGAAATACAAATTAGCGAAATAAAAACGAAAAAGGTTATGACGAATTTATGAGTCTGAGAACGGAGGAAGACTGGATGGAGAATGGATCCACCTGAACCATTACAAACGACTTTGAGCTACGTCATTCAAAGTTCATAACCATCGGTCACGATAATCATGCCGACCCCAACCAGGTAGTCGGCATCTATCAACGTGGTTCAATTCCGTTGTCAGTGACTTCATACACTAAGACTATGCTTTGGTTTGGTCGCTTCTGGCCTTCTTCCAGCCTACTTCTACACTAGAAAACATCGCTCGTTGAGGTAGGCAGTGGTTGGGCAGACGCGATAAATGGCCCAACTGCCCAAGTTGAAGATTTACTACCCCATTCATCAACTTCCCATCTTAACTTAATACTCTATTCCTAACTAAGGCGCTGCTCACTTTGTGGTCCCAAAATACACCAGCAATGCTTCGAAGGTGCTTATGATGCAATATCAGTAACCTACGAATATCCTCTACATTTAATATCCATGCTTAACATCTATAAAGTAGAACGGAGTGAATTGCTACACAACGAACTGGCCGTTTGGTTAGAATACGGATATTTCGCCTACGCCATAAATGGTGTAAGTTGCTAAGAGCCAATCGAGTATTCTGATTCCGTGTCGAGATTTCATCACAAACCAACCCATCGAGACTGACAAGACTCTTCAGATTATGAAGTGACCGGTGCGTTTAATTATTTCATTTTTTTATCATTAATACAGGCGCCAACGCAACTCAGTCGTGAAGCAACAGTTTGCATTTGAAAAGAGAACATCTGAGTTTGAAGAATTTCCGGGGGAAAACCTCAGTGTGGAAATATTGGGAAGAACCCGAAATTTCCCAAAACATCTTGAGGATGTTCCAAGGACCTGGGAAAATTTCGGGTTTTTGGGTCATTTTCCCAAAGTTTTATACCGCGACTCCCCCAAAATTTACCCAAAACGGGAATTTTTCCCAAAATATGGAAATTGAATTCAGGGAAACAACGGAAGCTAGTAATAGCTATCAGCACTAGTTGATGCTCAACTCTGCTACGAAGCTTAAATTAATGGTGGTGACTCAGAAATTATCGATGTCGTGGAAATCTGCACTAAAGGGTATAAATAAGATGCAATGTTACATTTCGTAACATAACTAGTTAGATGACTACCAAATAGTTATCTAATCTGAAACTGTTGAAAACCCTCTTCCCAAAAGTGCTAGTGAAAGGAAATATCTGAGATTAACAGTTGGATGTACCAAGAATAAGAACAGATAGAGATACACCATTTGTGTACTACGAGTGGACCATGAGAACAATATCGAATGGAAAACCTAATAGATCGATATACAAAAAAATAAACTATGAAAAGGAAATGAAGGGCCATTTGGATTGGGTTAGGAAACACTTAATGTGTATATAAAACTTACCGTGACTTTCACTATCCAATTTGGAACTGATGCACACTAATTTAATTCACCATAATTAAAGACGGTTCCAAATTTCTTACCATTTTTGCTATCACCTGTGAAACAGATTAGGGGAAAGTCATCTACCTACTTTTTCTCTTCTCCAACCAACCTAGAGAGGCACACAACAGAGAAAGTGTTTTCCCCGTGCCTGTGGGAGATTCCAAAAGACAATTCTGTTTGTTTTCCAATGATTCGATGACCTAAAAATGATACATAATAAAAATTCTTACTCTAGTCATCATTGACATTTGGCAACCATAAGGCTTGTGTGGGAAGTGTACCGTAACCCCACGGATTGTAACTTCGAATGTTTGCATCTTGCAAGCCTCTCCAACATCGGTCGTCATTTCACCTTCAAATTAATATATGCAAACAAAAATATAAAAATCAATTTAACATTTCTTGAAATGTCGTTGTAAATCAAATGATTTTACTTGGTTTAAGCCGAGTATTTAAATAAGTTCCACATTTCCTACTGAAGTGATTCTTGTCAGCTATTCAGTTTTAGATTGGAAAGGACAAAAGGCTGGGAGTCCTGTGTTAGTCCTGGCAGTGGCTGTCTCTCAATCGATCCCACTCCCTTTTGAAAACTTTCGCAGTTGGAGCTTCAGTCTCTTGTCGGAAAAATGAATTCCATTCCTTGATGATTCTATAGGAAAGTCGATAGTCAGTCTTCAGTCTTAAGTAACAAGGATCGTGTGTTTGTGGACCTGTGTTGACCCTTGGATCTTGTTTTCTAGTGGAGGTCCAGCTTCTCCTAGATAATTTTTAATGATGGGTCTCGCACTATTTTTCTCAGTAAGGCATTCCAGACAGTGACTACTCGATGAGAGACGAAACCCCACCTTAAGTTTGGGAGAGAACTAATAAGAAATTTGTTCTGAGCTTGTGAAGCTTTATTAGAGCGCCCTGGCAAATTCTCTGTCTTGGAAAGCAGGAAAAATGAGCGCATATCATGTGCAAACTTATCACTAAATAACTTAAAAGCTATGACTAAGTGACCTCCGATCCTTCTATATAACAAGGGAATTAGATTTACTTTAGATAATATATCGACATACGAGAGATTCGTCATCACAGAAGTAGGCCTAATTTGTGGTTTGCTGAACTTCTTTCAGTAACTTACTTTTTGCGACAGAAGCTAACTTCTTGTACTTAATCCTCAAGCTCAGAACGAACGAACACTATATACGAAGTCGAAAAGATTTTAGCATCGAGATGGCTAAAGGCTCTTCGTATTGACCTCAAAGTTCTTAAACCTTCTGGTGGCTATCGCACAGCAGTGTGTAGTAGTTTTTAAGTCTTGGCTAACGATGACTCCCAGGTCATTGTGTGTTTGGACAACGGGTAGCTCAATGTTATTCAGCATTAGTGTTCCTGTACCTTGCTGACCAATATGCATCATACTTCACTTGAAAGCATTTATCGACAACTGCCAAATTCTAGATCATTCAGATAATTTTTTAGGTCATCTTGAAGCTCTAAACTATCGCCTTTATATTTTATCTCTCTTCATATCTTGACACCATCAGAACATAACAAGACCGATAATGATATGAGACTAGAAAGGTCATTTACACTCAGAGGGAACAACACTGGCCCCAAAACTGTATTTGAGGTACTCTTCTAAGCATAGTTTCCAAGCCAGGCAACTTTGAGTTCACCTGTACTTTTTGTTGACGTCAAACTAGGAAGTCCCTGATCCACATAAATAACCTGCCTTCCATACCAATATTACTTGACCTAAATAACAGCCGATTGTAAGAAAATTTGTCAAAAGCCTTACCTAAGTCAGTGTAGGCCATATCTATAGATAACTCTGGATCTTTAGGATTGCACAAATTTCCATGGGCTGCCAATAAGTTTGTGAGACGTAAGTGACCTGTTTTAAAATCATTCCGTTTTTCAGGATGAGTCAAGTTTACATCTTGATACTCAAGCATTTCCTTCCAAATAATGTTCCTAGCGTTTTAGCAAACACACTGGTCAGGTTTATAGCGACGTGTATATTCAATGACTTTCCTAATGACAAAATAGACACTACATTTACGTTTATTGTTTACTGTTCTGTAGAATTATGGTCTAGTTCGGAATTTGTTCATTTATCTTTGTTACTATAATAATAGACCTAATCCGGGAATTGTAGATTTGTCATGATGTGACTACATCATCTGTAAGTTCCTACGTGGAAGTAATGTCGTTTTCTATTCCGACGTGTATCGTGACAATAAGCAATCCGATGTTTAGCGATTCCGAAGAACACATATGGGCTGGAAAGAAAGCAGGAAGTTACACGGTGACCACACATTCATGGCGGAGCTATTTCATGTCGATTAATTGTCCCCGAGTTTTCTACATTGGCCTGCACTTGTAACATGTTTAGTGTAAATCTCCTCAGTAACTATACATTCAGCTTCAAAGATCGTGTGGTTGGGAACTTATACTACTACAAGCCCTTCCGCCGTGATCGAGTGGTTAAGAAGCGTAGTGATTGTCTAATATATGCATCTAAAAATATGAAGATGGAAATCTATAGCAATGCTTTCCTCAGCAATTTGCTTAATTCTATATGGCTTACTATACAAGTTCATGAGTGTCAAATACTAATTGAATGTGTATGTCGAGCTCTAAACAATCCTGGTTCAACGAAAAGCACTATAAGTCCGTCGTTCGCTATGGCTGCCTCTCTTAATTTCGCCTGAAAAATTATTTGTGCTGATTTAAACCTTCACAGCACTAACTGGAAGAAACTCCAACCCATCGTGTTTTGAAAACATACTTAGTTACTTAGACACACGGTTGGCAGCAACATGTACACATGAGTACACAAAACCATAACATCCTCAACTTGATATTCTTTCACGTCACACCAACATATGTAGTGGTTGGAGAGAAATCTCAGAACAGCGATCATAAAACAGTCCTCTATACTGTACTGTTTCTTGTAAAGTGCAACAAATTCAAGGCAATAAACATGCGTTTCCAATACAGAGACTATACACACGCTGACTGGGAAAACTTTCGATTTCTAATAAGGCACTTTGACTGTAGCAGTTTCTCTACTGGTGTTAAGCTCTCAGAAACAGTAGAAATATTCAATATTACCAGACATTACTATCGCCTCCTAAATTGTTCTCGAAACTTTCATTCTTATATCAACCAAAAGGCTGGGTCTAAGCTGCGGAAACCAAAAGACCTCGGTGTCCAGGATGAAAAACGTTAACAAGGAGAGGGACATACTGTGCTCTCTACCGCATGCGAGTCCCTCAGCTTATGTTGTCTCCTTAAAAAGCGCATAAAAAAGAGTGTGGACTGCAACACTCACTCCATATGGTACGATGCTGTGACGTATTATAACCAAACGGTTATATGTGTACTGCCAAATGAATGGTTTTTTCACAATTGGAATAAATCTCATGCCCCGTACATTAACCTCAAATGCATCGTCAAAAATAATCTTGATTCAGTTACCTACTTACTTACTCATGAATGTTACCCCTGGTGGAAGAGAAAAGGCCGATCACCAGCGTTCTTCATCCAACACTGCCCTGCGCAGTCCTTTCTAGTTCTTTCCAGTTGATACTCATCCCTCTTATATCTGCTACCAACTCCCGACACAGTGTTCTTCGGCCTTCCTCTTTTTCGTTTCACTTCAGGATTCCAATTTCGTGCTCGACTCGCGATACAGTTTGATAATTTCCTCGATGTGTGGCCCATCCACTTCTACCGCTTTTTCCTAATTTCCTCCGCTGCTGGAAATTGATTTGTTTTCTCCCGCAGTAGGCTGTTGCTTATCGCATCTGGTCAACGGACATCCAGTACCTTGAGTAAACAATTATTCATAAACGCCTGCAAATTTTTTATGATGTTTGTAGTAGTTTTGCACGTATCAACTCTGTATTGACGTTCATATTGAAGGTTCTGACTTTGGTATTGGTTGACATGTTTCAAGTTCCATGTGTCGTTCAACTGTAGGAATGCTTCCTTTACCTTTTCAATCTTTGCCTCCTTGCTTATCGATAATGTTGTCCAGATATGTGATAGTTACACCCATTCTAGAGCAGTTCCATCACCTGTGGTTGGGTTGATGCTTGCTGTGTTGTATTGGATAATGTTGGTTATCCCTGGTGTATTTTTAAGCCTCCCGATCCAGAGTTTGCTGCTGCACTAGCTATCTTCATCTGCATCTGTTCATGTGATTAGAAAAGAAGAATCATTTTATCCGCAAAGTTCAAATCTAAATGTTTCTGAGCTGTTCATTGTATTCAGTGTTTTTCCTTATATACGATCTTCCTAATATAGTCACTTAGCTGAGAGGATGCGACTCCCTAAATATTCTCAGTACTTAGTTTTTCTCATTATCATTACTATTTGATTATTTCGATCTCTTTTGCTATTTATCTTATTTTTATTTCTGGGGAATTACTGAGATCTAACACTAGTTTAATTCGAGACAAAATTTAAATAAAAGGATATGCTTTTCCATATGTTTGACATCATAAACGATGTAATTAGCTTGATGCAATTACTGAACATTATGTTTTACATTTTCCAAAAATAACTAGCGAATTCTTTAGGTTTAAAATACATATTGATATGAGTGTTTTCATCAATTCTAGATTAGCATATCATTAAGTCCCTGTTAGTTATATAAATCAAACAGAAACACACAAACATATTAGGTTAATTATGCGTCAAAGAACGTTTTGATATGATCTTATTTTTACTGTTTCCAGGAAAATCATTTACTTTCCAGTGGTGAATTATGAACAGTTATCTGTTCTGTGCATTTTACAGTTATCATGTAGACTAGACTGAAACACGACTAACCTGTATGTCACTGAATGTGGATATATGCCCACACTAATTGTATGCTCATGGTATGTTTCCTCAAAAGATTGCCTATTTACGTTAGTGTTGTAAACTCGGTGAAAAAAATACCGACCTTTGGATTTGGTTTATGAATATCAGAATGTGTTACTCACCGTCATCAATTCAAAATTTCCCTACATTTTGCTTGATCTCAGCTCTATTCGCTTTTGAGTTTATCACCACTCTCTCGATAAGATACTTGAGTACATACAGTTAACCCATGATATATCGATTTCCGCGTGTCAGGCTTCGAGTTTTGTTATGCTGACCAGATACTCCTACTACGTGCATGTCGGTATTTGTTATATTCAGTTCCTTTATAAGCACAACTTCTTTTGTGACTTGCAGTGTAAATATTTGTCCCATAGTTTTAACTATCTAAATTCTTATCACATTTATTAGATTCGATTTGGCTACACGAGTTCGCGCTTGGGTCAAAACAGATTTAGATATCCAAATCAGTATGGATGCTGTT